TAGAACGTAAAGACAAGCTTTGCGTTTGCCATCGATAAGGATGCCCGAATAATCAACGGCTGAGATCTCCCCTTTACTAGCTTCAAATCTTCACCGTTGATTTTTTGTTCTCAGTCTTTTTAGACATAAAAGGGACAGGTCCATGGAGTCCATGCTGAGACAGTGCACCCCATAATACCATGTCCTTTTCGTGCTCAGACAACTCTGCCCCTAATTTTACAGAGATCCCCGGCCATGATGTGAGGGGTATTTTTGTCATTTAAGTAACGAGAGAAAAGAATCAATAATTTTTCGTGCATTGCCATGTACGTACACCTGAGGTAATTGTAGGACGTGGACCCCACTCTTCCCCCTTCGACTTTTCTCTCTTTTTTTTTTTTCCCTTTTACCATTAAAAATATATTATAATTATATTTATTATTATTATTATTATTGTTATTAAATCCTGGCGTATGTATGCGTAACTCATTGCTGTCCGTACACTGCCAAAAGGCCTCTCTCATCTGACGGCCTTGATTAAGATGCAACGTGCACTTTCTTTTTTGTACTTCTCAATTTCTATTTTATAATTATTTATAATTATTGTGATTTATTTATTTTGAGATTTAGGAGGGAAACTTTAGTGTGTGATTTAGTTAGTGATATGAATTAATGATGGTTCAAATCAGAAACCGTTGGAGTTGGAGATAAAACAGTGCCGGATCAATAATGCTGTGTGTGCTTTAGTAATTCTGAAAAGGAAATCTTGACCGCCAGTGATGGATAAAACAGTCAAACCGTGATTGGACGGTTGTGATGTCATGATTAATACGGATTTTCACATCAGATCATTCCTCAGTATTTATTTATTTTTTAATTCACTTCTCTTCTCCGTTCTCCCGCCAGCTTGTGGTCCCCGCATTATCCGATGCCTCAGATCCAGCCGTGCAACGCGAATCATGAGATTCCTCCTCTCCATTGTTTCTCCTACACCACCACTACACTTTATCATTTCCCTCGTGCTTACGATAATTTCAATTCCTCGATATATCGGCCACGGTAAAATTTGACCGACGAGATTCTTCAAGTTCTTTGCCACGTCTTCCTGTTGGTTGGCTCCACTCTCTCTCCGACTCTTCTTACATACACCCGTTTTCTGCGGCTGCCCTTCGTTGCCAACGGATAAGATTTCGCCCACGCACCGCCAATCCAACGGCCAGCGGTCCCCGAGTCATCCACGTGTCAGAATATCAGCCGTCGATCGGAATCCCCACAAAACCTCGCATGGACCTTATTTAACCTTGGTTAAAATCTAACCTCACTGAAAGGCGTAACATAAATCCTTATCCCATCTCTGTCCTTCTCTATCTCGTCTCTCACTTCACCTTCTCTCTCTCAGCACGCTATAAGCTTCTTCCTCTGCAACTACGAGCTCCGTTAATGGCGTCTCAGATCTAAACTAAGCAATCTAGAAAAAATTCTCTTATTTTTTGCGGTTTTTGTAAGTTTGTACTGCTCTCTGATAACGACAATAAATCAACCATTTCTGTTCTCGCGCTCGTCGATTATTCAAATCTTGGGGTTTTTTCTTCGAGTAATCATTAATGCAGAAGAGAATGGCGGTGTCGTTCCCCGAGGAGGTGCTGGAGCACGTGTTCTCGTTCATTCGGACGGACAAGGACAGGAACTCGATATCGCTGGTGTGCAAGTCGTGGTACGAGGTCGAGCGCTGGTGCAGGAGGAGGATATTTGTGGGGAACTGTTACGCGGTGAACCCTAGGATGGTGATTAGACGGTTCCCGGAGGTGAGATCCGTGGAGCTCAAAGGAAAGCCGCACTTCGCGGACTTCAACCTCGTGCCTGAAGGTTGGGGCGGGTACGTCTACCCGTGGATCCTGGCCATGGCTACGGCGTACCCGTGGCTTGAGGAGATACGTTTGAAGAGGATGGTTGTCACCGATGAGAGTCTGGAGCTGATCGCCAAGTCGTTTAAGAACTTCAAGGTCCTTGTGCTCTGTTCCTGTGATGGCTTCTCAACTGATGGGCTAGCTGCCATTGCTGCTAATTGCGGGTATGCTTTTTTTTTTTCACTTACATTTTTCCTTTTTTAAGGTAGGTGGGGTGCTCATGGAGGAAGTCATTCTGGGCGTGTTTGTGAGCTAGTTTTTTTTTTTTTTTTGAATTTTCATTTCGTTTTAGCTTTTGCTACTTCTAGTCTGGCTGAGCTACACGGTTGTTTAGTGGGCTTGGCTAATCTCTTAAAATGAAGCTGTTTCATTTTCTTTGTAGCCAAGGAGAGCATTGTTGTGCATTTTGGTCCTTGCTATTTTTGTTGACTTGGATACTGAAATTTGAGCTGTATAATGCTTTGAGTGTTTAACTGCGTTAACTACGTGAAAAGATCTGATCTTTGGTTTCTTATTTCATTTCAAATTGTCGTTCCATTGGGCAAATTATGAGACTTTCCCCTATTCCTCCACCCTCAGAATCGTGCATCTAATCTTTGTAACTTTGAGCTTTAAACCGCTTTTAATTATTGTGATTTTGTTGCTCCTTCGCGGTTGATTTGCTGTGAAAAACTTGCAGTGTGGGCATTTGCTTTCAGTTTTACTTGCTGTCTTTTTCTGCTTTTGTTTCCGCTAGATCTGATGCTTGTTCTTGGAATCTCTTGTGTAGAAAATCTAGTTGAGATCACTGGGTTTCTTTTTGTTCACTACTTTCTCTGTTATGGACGAGCCTGAGGTGGGGCTCTTTTAAGATTTTGGATGTTTTCTCGTTGGATAATGTGGGTATCTGAAAGATTCCTTCTCTTTCTCTCACTTTGTGTTCTAGCAAGGAATGAACTTCTTTATCCTTGGCTCTCAAGTGGAAACTTATAGATTCCGATGTAGTTTCTGTTCTTTGACTTCTGGTTGCTGGAATTGGTTTTTGAATGTTTTAGGTTACCATTAGTGTGTGAACTGTGGAATGTTAACTGGAAAATTTTATTTCCTCAGCAGTAACTACGTTGACTGAATGGATTGAACCAAGCCTGAATATGAGTGTCTGACTTGCTTTTTTTTTTTTTTGAAGTATATGATTGTACGAAGTAAAGTAACTTTGATAACGCAGTTCAGTCATTTTCAGTAATAACAATAGTAGCTGACTTCTAATATTTTACATTAATCTGAACAATTAGTTTCATTTTATTTCGTGAATGAATTATGTAAGATAAATCATTTTATGCTTGAAGATTTTGCTCGTAATATTTGCAGCTTTATTGTTTTTTGTAGTTAATGAGAAATTATCTACTGTTGCAGAAATCTCAAAGAGCTTGACTTGCGGGAGTGTGATGTGGATGATTTGAGTGGACATTGGCTCAGCCAATTTCCAGAGACATGCACATCTCTGGTGTCCATTAATATCTCTTGCCTGAGCTCCGAGGTTAGTTTCTCAGCCTTGGACCGTCTGGTGGGCAGGTGCCCCAATCTAAGGACTCTCCGGCTCAATCGCGCTGTGCCTCTAGATAGGCTTGCTAGTCTACTTCGTCGGGCACCTCAACTGGTTGAGTTGGGCACGGGTGCTTATTCTGTTGATGCTGCTGAGCTGCGGCCAGATGTCTTCACAAAGTTAGCTGGAGCTTTCTCGGGATGCAAGAAATTGAAGAGCTTGTCCGGGTTTTGGGATGTTGTCCCAGGTTACCTCCCAGCAGTTTATTCTGTCTGCTCTGGAATAACATCATTAAACTTGAGTTATGCCACTATCCAAAGCCCTGATCTTATCAAGCTTGTTAGCCAGTGCCCAAATTTGCAGCGCCTTTTGGTAAGTTTGATCTCATACAAAAATTAAGTCTCACCGGGTTATTTTTGTCTGTTGGCTTCTCAATGTTGGGGCTGACTTGCACATGAAAGTAAAATTAGTTTGCTTGCTTGTTTGTCACTGGACTTTAGTGCATGATACTTATTTAGTCTCTATAATGATTCTACTCAAATTGCTGTATCGCTTGATATGTTCTTTATTGTGCTCGAGCTTGCTTCATATCCACTGTTCTGTACTGTTCTCCTTTTGAAGCTATTGATTCTTAAAGCTGATGGAAAATGTATTCGCAGGTGTTTGATTACATAGAAGACAGTGGCCTCGAGGCTCTTGCAGCTTGCTGCAAGGACCTTCAAGAATTGAGGGTGTTTCCATCTGCTCCTTTCGCTGCAGGGCCAAATGTAGCCTTAACAGAACAGGGTCTTGTCTCTGTGTCTGAGGGCTGTCCTAAGCTCCAGTCAGTCCTGTACTTCTGCCGCCAAATGACAAATGCTGCCCTAGTTACTATTGCGAAGAACAGCCCAAACTTGACACGGTTTCGTCTTTGTATTATTGAACCACGAACCCCTGATTATCTAACCCTCGAGCCACTCGATGTGGGTTTTGGAGCCATTGTTGAACACTGCAAGGATCTCCGGCGCCTATCCCTTTCTGGTCTCCTTACAGACCGTGTTTTTGAATATATTGGGACTTGGGCAAAAAAGCTAGAGATGTTATCTGTGGCTTTTGCTGGAGATAGCGATCAAGGCCTCCATCATGTGCTATCTGGGTGTGACAGTCTACGGAAGCTAGAAATCAGGGACTGCCCATTTGGAGACAAGGCTCTTTTGGCCAATGCTGCAAAGCTGGAGACAATGCGATCCCTTTGGATGTCTTCTTGCTCTGTGAGTTTCGGAGCATGTAAGCTGCTTGGTCGGAAAATGCCGCGACTCAATGTAGAAGTTATTGATGAACAGGAATCTCCAGACGCGAGGCCAGAAAGCTGTCCTGTTGAGAAGCTCTACATATATAGAACAGTTGCAGGACCAAGATTCGATATGCCTGCATTTGTTTGGACCATGGATGAAGAATCCGCATTGAGTCTCACTTGACAAACAACCAATAGTCAAGCCTCGTCTATACCAATCAAACCTGTTGGATATCGTAAGTGGATACAGCAGGTACACGCTCTAAATGCTGCTCATTGATCCACATCTAATTTAAACGTAGCTCTATATAATTTGCAGCTGCAGCTTGTGTTGGTACGAGAGATGGTGAGAGAGGAGTGAGGTGGGGTGGGGTGGGGGGAGGGAGATATAGGGAGGCTCAAGAGCTCAAACTGCCATCATATTTACTCTGGGCTGAGCTGGGGGATACCAATCATTAGCAAGTAATAAAAAGGGAATGAGAACTCCTCTTTGTTTGTTGTGTATTAAATTTAGAATTGTTTGTTTTGCTTGGGCTTAGTCACCCGTGTATACTGTTTTGCAGACTTCTGCATATCATCTGTATCACTCTTTCCTATCTGGAGGTATTAATTGTCGTATGAACTCTCCAACTTTGTCTCATCAAAATAGCTTTGTTGGGGAAATAAATTTCCAAAACTTTGATACTTAGTCGAGCAAATCTTTCCTATCCACCATTTACATTCCAAACTAATCATGAGCAGAAGAACGGTCAGAGGATTCAAGACCCATCTTTTCTTTTTCTTGAATCAATGTGATTCTGATGAAAGTGATTAGTTCTTCTATATAGATATCCATCTCCTGCTCGAGACCTTGTCTGATGGCAATATTTGTGTATGTAAATCTTGATTTAGACACCGAGGAGGAAAGAATTTGTCTGGTTCTGAAATTAGGAGTTTGGTGTTGTGAGAAGTAACTGTGGGTTTGACAAATTGGGAGAGATTAGATTCGAGTGGAAAGTAGAAATTGAAAATTGTACAGACACTTTCCCATCATTGTCTAACAAACAATTGACCAATTATTACACCACAAGCTCATTGTGTTTTTGCAGAAACTTACTGTTCCTCATGCAACCACCCTTTTTATCATTGAATCCAATACAAATAGAAGATACACGTATACATAACTAAATAAATCATACAAAAAAGAAGAGGCAAATTGTGTGTGTTATGAAAATGTAACCCTCGACTGCTGTGCCACGTGATAGATTCGGTGGACATTGGTTAGTGTCCACAACTTTTTCGCTACATTCACGCTCTCTTTTCTACTCCTCCCGATCATATCTTCTCACCCCCTCCAAAATATTTATTTCCTACTCCAATAATTAATTTTTTTTATAAAAAATTTAAATTAATTATTATTATACCCATAATTATGCTGTGAACAAATTTTTTTATTTAAAAAAATCCCAGTTATTATTTTTTTAAAATAAAATATGGGTATATATTACCCAATTATTACATAAATTCACGGTTTAAAAAAAAAAAAAAAAAAAAAAATTCAATGGGACTTGGGGAAGGTGGTGTAATCAATAATCCCATTCAAAATATTAAATAATTACAAATAATATTATTTTTTTAATTGATTGATGATGGCCACACGTTTGATGATGATGATGATCATCATCATCATCATTTATATTCTCTGTCACTTATGATTGTAAATTCTTGATCATGTATCCTCCTCTTAATTCTTTTTCTTTTTCTTTTTTTTCTTTTTTTTTACTGTTTTTTACCCTCTTCCACATCTCTCTTCAATTACCCACCCTACATATTTTTTACTGCTTATAAACAATTTACATCATTTTCTACTTTGAAATAAACATGAATTTATATATACATATATATATTTAAAGGTGTATGTAATTTAATAGTTTTCATATACAAAAGTGAAAAACAGTAAAAAAAAGAAAGGTGTTTGTGATTAGTAAATCATGATTGAAGGATGGTGGATTCTGATTTCTGAGCAACACCAATAATGCTTCGTATGATTTTGCAGCGTTGCATCTCACTTTAATTTTTATTATTTTACGTTTTAAATAATATATAATTTAATTATTATTTTAATAAAATTTCATACGTTCATTAATAAATATTAATCATAATACAACCACAAAATAATAATAATAATCCTACTCAAAATTATAAATTTTTTTTATAGAAAAATAAACATATCAATAAAATTATTTAAGAGAGGAAGAAGGAGAAAATAAATAGAAATATTTAAGAGAGATAAAGTGAGAATAGCAAGAGGACGAGATAGAAAATCAAAGAGAAAAGATATAAATAAAAAATTGATAGAGATAATAATAACGTATTCAAAAATATTTCATTAACAATTAAACAAACAATCAATATTTTACGAAAGTGTAAAAGGGTTGTAGAAGATATTCTCAAATTCGTCCGATGAAAGACGGAAGAGGGAGTTACCGATTAACTAAGAATTTGAAAAGATCAAAGACCTCTTGGGTTTGAATTTCCAACGGACATTTCTACAATTCTTTTAACGCACCACGTGTAGATCTTATATTTTATATTTTCTAGTATATTATTCTCTATTTACACTCAGATCTTTACAGTATTTTATAATTACAATTAAATCAAAATACCAATTATTTTTGAATAAAAAATACAATAATAATAGCGAATTTTATATTTAATTTAAATCAAGTAAATTTTTAATTAATACATAACAAAAACACTAAAATTTCATCACTATAGAATTTATTAATACGAGAAAATAGTTGATTTAATTATTAACCAAATATGAATTGGGCCGGGTCGGGTAGTCTTATCTCTTAGGATTTAGTAGTTATTATAAAAAAAATTTTCAATGTTTTTATTATAATATAGTTATTGATATTTTCTGTTTATTACGAGTTTTTTTTTTTTTTTTTTTTTAATTTTAAACACTTTAAAAAATAGTTTTGATTAATTAATTAAATTATTCAATTAACAATAACAAAAAGTAAGTCTAATATTATTATTAACATATTAAAATTAGTTTAAATTATATTTTGAACTGTTTTTTTTTAAAGTATCTGGATATAATTTAACTATTGTGTATTTAAAAATAAATTATAATAAATATCAAATTACAGAACTAATTTGATAATTTATCTTATGAAATATATAACAAATTTTTTAATTTTACGTTATATTTTATTTTATAGAAACATATAATTAATATTTTTTAATATAATTTAAGATATGTTAATCTTGCAATAAATAAGATTCAAAATGTGAGTATGATCAGAAACCTGTTAGTTTATAAAAAGTAATTTAAAAAATATTAGAATATGACCCAGTTACGTCAAGCTTTAAGAAAACTGACTTTTCCCTACGGTGATTATAGTCATATACATACAGTCAAGCTAGTCACCCATATAGTCATATACATATACATACAGTACAATGTTTAAAATGAAATTAAGGCCACTTAGAACACGTAAAGGTGGTTGAAGTCAAGTTACGGCCACTTAGAACACGTAAAGGAATTTTCTGAGTCGTCTTCTTCAATCAATGACGAACCAATACGAACCCATGCGAACAATTTTGAAATGACTTCGACTTTTAGAAAAAATCAACACAAAAAAGCCATAAAGCTATAAAAACCAGAGGTGAAAGGAAGAAGAAGAAGGAGAAGAAGAAGAAGAAGAAGAAGAAGAAAGACTGTTGAGAATTAATATGGGGAAGATAGTTTTCTCGCCGATGAAAGAAGTCATTGCTTTCGACTTCACAGGATTTCTCATGGCTCTGCTCGTTGCCATCGCTGTTTTGATCACCTGTCTTGTACCTCGACGGAGAGCCACAGTTGTTCTGGCGCATCGCTGTTTTAATCTCTGATTGTTTTGTTAGTTCATCCTAAATCATCCCAAATGAATGCTTGATTATAAAAATATACTACAGTGAACTTCTGCGTTATTCAATTATCGTTTGATAATTACTGAGATAAAACTCGTTGATTAGTGTTTGCTACTATCAACTCCACTCTATAAATCAAACAATGTATGTGTTCCAACCAATTTTACTACACTTTATTAGGAAACTCTCTCTCTCTCTCTCTCTCTCTCTATATATATATATATATATATATCATTTATGTAGAAGTCAATCAACTGTAAGCTTCTGAGTTGCACTAGGAATACGGAGAAGTGCAGATACGGGCTTACATTAGCATCTCCCCTGAATTCCAGCTGTTTGATTTTGGCCGGGCTTTAGATAATTACGAGCAACTCTCTCGCCCGGACGTTCACGGCCTAGTGACTCAGTTGGTTAGAGCGTCGTGCTAATAACGCGAAGGTCGCAGGTTCGAGACCTGCATGGGCCAACCTATAATTTTTTTTTTAACAAATCTCCCCTTATGTTATTCTAAATTTTCTTTAATTCTACATGTTCTTCATAGAATAGTTTTCCAAAATGAAGAAATATTTTTTTTTTCCTAAAATAACTTTTATATAAGATTATGATATAAATATATATATATATATATATATATATATTAAATTATGTTAAAACAACTTAATCTAATTTGAAGCACAACTTCATTATAGAACAATCTCAAATAATTTCTAATACAAGCATGCTAAAAACTAAAGAAGTGATTTGGACACAAGCACAACTCTATCTAAGTTGTCATTAATGCAACTATGGATAATTCATAGTTTCAAGCTCCTCAATAATGTTAGATCTAGGTATGAACTAAGCTTAGAAACATCGGCAAATTAAGTTAGCGTAGGTACATAACAATCTTATGAATAGATGATCTTAAAATTCTACATTAAAAATGTATATAATTACTAAATTTTATATAAAAGTTCAAATTATGATTCAAAGGTAAAAAAAGTTATTCCGTCAATGACACGACAATTGTATTAACTTCTTTTATCCAAGAATCATTGATTTCTTTTCAAATAATTGTCGTGTTAATACTGTTGCATAGATCTTGAAAAATATGAAGATCCATAAGAAAAACTGTAGCAAATAATCTCTGAACTGCAAAACAATGGCATTTTAAAATTCCAAATTGTGAACTTAATCTCCAATATCCAATATGCCAAGAATCAAACAAGTGTCTGTCATTCAATTCCATTCAATGAACAAAACCTTCCCTCGATGTTACTGTCTACAACACTACAGATGCAGGCTTTTCCTAGTCATGTTCCAAGCAATTATACCTTTACAGGAATCCTATTAATTTCCCATATGGTAACTCAGTTAACAGTATAATCATGAATTGTAATTGGGAAGAAAAGAAAGATGGAGATATCTGAGTTCTTGTCATCTTTTCCTGACTGATTTTAATTTGAATTTTGAATTGACTGCAAAAGATGCTCAATTCTGTATTTCATGACAGGCTGACCAAATCTCGTCTTCTTGAACATCTTCTCCCTTGTTGCTTTCCTTTGGGCTTCAGCTTTTTCTCGCTTTTCCCTCTTGGCTTGAAAAATTGCCTCCTTCTCAATCCTTGCTTTCTCTCCTCTTCGCGTTCTCTCGTACAAGTCCTTCAAACTTGTTTCTCTTATCTTTTGTCCTTTACATGCATCTGACTACCATATCCTGTTTCCCGCTCATTCTGTA